AAGGAAAGTCTCTAGTATAATGATACCAAGTACCTCTTTTTCCTGAGTTGTGATTTCACTTCCTCTGCTAATTATTTTTTCCAGCTGTTGACTCAACTGATCAAGTTCAAGCAGTCTGTCTTGGGCTTCCTGTGGAAAAAATTGAAAATAATCATTACCTCCCAGTACTGGTCTCCTCTAAGTATTGGCATATCTTACCTGCTTCTTCCTCAGTACTTCGTCTAAAGCCTTTCTAGCTTTATTGTCTGCTATACAAGGTTCTCTATTCCACTGCCTCATTCTTTTAGGTAGGATTTCCTGAATACGTCTGTAATAACAAGATACAAGCTTATTACTTTCATTTGAACTAGCTTTGATGTGTACTATCAATCAAATAAATGAATGAACCAATGGATAAACAAAAGGACAAATCAAAGGACAAATAATGGCAAGACAAAATGTGTAAAATAATGGAGAAGTGGATAAATCAAGCAGTTGAATGGAAAAATCAACAAATGAATGAAAGGATAATTGAAGGAATGAATGGAAGGATGAATAAATGAATAAATGAATAGGTTATTGAATACAAGCAGAAAGAAAAGAATGAGTACATGTAGATTAATAAATAAAGAAATAAATAAAAATGATACCAAATTGCCTCATTGTCATGGCAATACATTATCTTTGAAAAATACATCTCAAAAGATTGTATTTTGCATAAAGTTATTTCTTACCKTACAGCAAGTTGTATCCCACATTCATCACTACAGTACTTGGAATTTGGTCTGGCTGAGTAAGTACAGCCTGGTCCATAACARTGCCKAGGWATTTCATCATATAAACTATCCTTGGCTGTATCACCCTTCTTATCATCAGAACCAAGTCTGTGGCGCCTTCGTGGACGATCATGACTTTGAAGTTTGCTCTTTTCCTGACCAAAACAATCATATCATTCATAAATTTTCAAAGTTTYCATAATGTCTGAAGCTTGTAAACATTGTTCTCTGTAGTGATGTGTAAGTGTYCTTACCTTCCTTGATGATGCTGTGGCATGTTTCATTTTAACAGCTTTCTTTGGATGTGCAATAAGATCTTTACTTTTCTGCAATAATAAAATTTGGTTTGTTATTGGTTTACACCCAATATACAATTTAATCTAAAAAAATCCACTATCATCCAAATATATATAATTTGTCATGAAAGGTAAGACTCATTGAATTGACTCAATAATATATTGTGGTGATAAGAAACACTTGTATAACATGAATTACTATTTCTGGCACCTTTTTTGGTACATATTCATATCTGTCCCGGTGGTCATCTGATTGTCCAGCTTTACTCTTCCTTAGCAATATCTGAAGTACATTTGGAATCAAAGTGTCTTGTTAAATTAATTACAAAAACTATAAAGATAAACCTGATTTAGTGTTGACTCACCCTTGACATTTTCAAACACTGCCTCAATCTGCATTTTTGTCTCATTCGATTTGGCCCACCAAACTTACGCATATCCTRTTTTACAGAGATTATATGTTATAATCAAACAAAATATATTATTCYTAAATGTAAAAATATTGAAGTGTAAAACTTACTTTACAAAAGTCACATTTTCCACAATCATCCGTCCTAAGGCAAGATGCACAYTCTCCACACATTCGAGATGATCTCTTATGCATATTACTTTTCTAAAAAATATTAAGCACAACATGTATTTTACACAACCTTTTCAGTGGAATCAAATACAATCTGGGATATTTCGTGGCTAGAAACAGTTATGTAAAAAGATAACACCGTAAAAAAGTTTTTTGTGTATTATATGTAGTAAATTTTTCCACATACTTTTTTACRGTGTTAAATTTATCTTTTTACATAACTGTTTCTTTAGAAACACCGACGCAGCTCACACTAGTTTACCGCTAGTTCCCACTATTTCGTGGCTAGTTTGTGTAATGATATGAAGCACCTTAAGTTTCTCAGAATGATGCTTCTTTTTTTCAACAACAACATCAACAATRACATCATCTTCTGGTGCTTTCTCAATCACTTCTTTCTTTACTTTCTTCTTTTTGTACTTGATAGAGAGATCTGGGTTGGCTTCTGTCAAGTATAAATACATGATGAATGCTTTGAAGGAGTCCACTGATAGTAAACCTTATTAGTAACCTTGTTGTGAGTTATTACAGACCAATATTTGATCAACTCTATTCCTTTAATAGTTATAATGTTATAATAGTTAATATAATAATAAATATTCATTTGCAATCAGTAATCCCCCCCCCCAAAAAAACACATCTTATATCATGATTTACAGTATATGCATTACCTAAACATGTCTTGCAGTAGAAATGTCTAATTGTTTGGGCTTCATCTTTAGTTATTCCAATACAATCACCATGGAACCACTCATCACACTTATCGCAGCATCTAATTAAAAAATACCATCATAATCWGCCTCTACTGGGCTCCCTGTGTTGTTTTTAGCACAGGGAACCCAAAACAATTGTAAAAGGCAGGCAGATTGAGATTTTTAGATATTGACAGAGATCAAAGGACTGTTAAGATGAATMATAAGATAGACTTACATCATGAACCGATCCGTGTTAGACTGTCGACATATACAATATACCATATCCTCCTTTTTAACTTTCTCTTCCTGTTAAAATACAAAATGTTTTCAATTGTACAAACCAACACTTCAATAGGTAGTGCATGATTATTTCAATCATATTGTTGAGTGTAAACCAGTGYATCTACCTTATGCTTTGTAATGGCAGTTGCACCATGTCCAAACATGGCATCCACTTTAGCCTGTCTTTCAGGCAGAATGTTTAGACTTCGCACAAGCTCTTGGTACTAAAATAAACATTTAAATATACGTTTTTTAATCAAGAATCATGTTTTGTACAATACAACTCATCAAGTATGAAAATTTGAGAAAAAACATCAACTCATTGCTCTAAGTAAACATGAACATTTAGAGGAGTTCAACCGAAAAAGAAATGTGTTTACTTCTCTTTTTTGTATACATACTGTTCTCTGATTAATACAATTTTACCTATGTCAATAATTTATGCCGTAAAAGCCTTTACCCATTGTAAATAAGGTTAAAACCGGTTACCTTCAAAGTTTCTTCTTCGTCCGCCATCTTGAATAATTACCCAGTGTGCGCATGCGTAGTAGCAAGCGCGCTCATGTTGTCGGTCGATTGCCCGGCGATAAAATGAATCGATGGAGTGAATGGAGGGAGTTAGAAAGCGATCCAGGTACGTTTGTGTTTCAACGATGGCYGATTTAAACACTGAGATAACTTGATTTGTCTTTATACCTTTGTCTTTGTAGGAATTTTCACGCTTTTAATCGARGAATTCGGTAAGAAGTGCGTTGTACCACGCGCGGTTTGTGTGTTGTTCTTGTTTATTGCAAGCATGATTTTTAATTTGTACTTTTTACAAAGACCAATTGCCTGTCATTGATGTTAAATCTGGGAATTTACTGTAAAATACACGTAGCGATCACTCAAAGTTTTAGCTTAAAGCATGTTTATATGTCTGCATATTTTAACAGCTGTTTATTGATATGAAAGTAGGTGCTTCTAACAGACGAAAAAAGTTATTTTACCTACTACTAAGTTACATTATTACTTCTAAACGTACTGCGTGTAATTCAAGCATAATTTGATGTGACAGATTTAGAATTTGAAATCTTTATTGTTGGGCTTCCTGTGGTAAAGTATGGGTTCCCTGTGCGATAAATTAAATAACAACATATCGCTTTTTAGGTGTTAAAGGTGCACAAGTTGAAGAGATTTATGACTTGTCTAAGCCTATTAAAGGGTATGGATTATTGCTTAATAATTTAGACTTAATTTTGCATTTGTATTTTGAATTGTTGATGTTTTCATATAAAACTCCTTATTGAACATGTTCATTATATTGTTTATTTTCTTATTAATAGCACTGTGTATGGATTTATTTTCCTGTTCAAGTGGATTGAAGAAAGAAGATCCAGACGTAAAATCTTACCTTTAGATGAAACATTTGTTGAAAATGAGGAAATCGTAAATGATATCTTCTTTGCTCAACAGGTACAGTGTATTAAAAAATCATTTCAATCAAGTGAAATTTTGTCAAAGAATGCAGTACCATCAAGTCATACTGCATTAAGTWGATTTCAMATGAAGAKGCAATGTATAAAAATGGCAATTTRTTCTTTAGGTCATCCCCAATTCTTGTGCCACTCACGCTCTATTGAGTGTTCTTCTGAACTGCCCACATGTCGATCTTGGTGAAAGTGTCAGCAAACTGAAAGATTTTTCAAAGAATTTTAACCCAGAGGTAATTCATCATCTCCCAAGTTAAAGCTTTTTTAAATCAATTTATTCATTATTTATTTATTCATTTGATTGAGGCATTGTTCTTTATAAATATAGAATAAAGGTCATGTCATTGGAAATCTACCTGAACTGGCCATTTCTCACAATAAATTTGCAAGGTTTGGATTACTATATTTTTTACAYTAAGTCAGCTAGAAATTTGTAAATAAATCTTGGTTAATTCATTGRTGTTAATGAAGGTGGATTTTCTCCTTTTAGACCAGAAGCRAAGCAGCTTCCTGAGAAGACAAACTCAGTTTCATCAGTRAGRGCAATGGAGGCTTTCCATTTTGTCAGTTATGTCCCCATAAAAGGAAGATTGTTTGAATTAGATGGATTGAAGCCTTTTCCCATTGATCATGGTATGAACTTTGAACATACATGTGAAAAGACAGTCGATGCATTTCCTTGTTAATTGTCAATCATCTRCAGGGCCCTGGGGTGAACATGAAGATTGGACAGAAAAGTTTCGCAGAGTAATAACTGAAAGACTTGGCATTGCAACTGGAGGGTAACACAGGACACTCTTTTTACATCTAAACCACATGATTTAAATAACACTGTATTTACACATAATAGAGGCTATAATAGAATATTAAATTTTGATTAGCTTTG